ACGGGGATCAACAAGTAATCATGTCAATTGCAACAACTTGAGAAGAGCATGCCAATCAAAGGTGGTAAAAAACTAATGATAAGAGAAATCAATTGAAATCAAAGAGCTATCTCCTAATTGTTAAGCTAGGGTTCACTATGAATAACAAACTAAGAGAATCATAATCAAAACCAACCGATAACTGCAATTACTAAATCAATTGTTCGTATCATTAGCAATTACAATGCAATCTAGCATAATTCTCAAGGTCTAATCGAATTACACCATGCAAACTTACATTAATATCAACAATTAATCAACACAATCCCCAAATTTATCACAATTAATCAATTATACAAGTTTCACCCAATTCCTAGCCAAACAACTATTCAAGAATCATCATCTATCAACTAACAACTATGGAAATCAAGAATCAACAATATATCAAGAATAACTACATTAATCAAGCATCAAACATCAAAATCAATCCAAACAAACATGAAATTAAACAAAGCATTAAGGTGAGATAGAGTTAAGAATGCTCATTGATAATAGAGAAGATTTTTTAACACAATTGTCACCCTTGTATCTTCAATCTCTCAATCACCATTGAAATCCTTCACTTTCTCTCTCTAAAACTACTCCTAATCTAGCCTAATCTAGAGAGATAATCTCTCAACCTAAGAGAGAGAAAACTATTCTCCAAAACTAAGAATTACCTGAATGAATGATAATGAAAACCCCCAAAAACTATCTTAAACAAAAGTAGAAAAGAAGCTTAAAATCGTAAAAGACCCGAAAGCCCGCGCCCTCGGAGAAATTGGCCGCGCCCGCGGAGGGGAGCGACACCCCGGAAGCCGCGCCTGCGGCCAAATCCCGCGCCCACGGGGCCAAGGCCCGCGGCCAACCCTCGGGGACTTACTGCCCAAAATCGGCAGAAATAGGTTGCGACAGATTTTCAGGGCCAACTTTAGAAGGCTGTAACTCCCAATTCAGGAATTGTATGAAGTCGTGTGACCTATTATTAGAAAGATCTTCAAGTCTAGTTTCCAACCCAACTTGAATCACCTCAATCCGATCTGTAGAAATTGAGATATGGCCGAAACAATGCACAAAGGTCCTTTTTGATACTTTACAACAAGCCTTCATTTTCCTTTGTTTCTTGGATTGGCTTGACTTGCATGCTTGGCTTCCCTAACTTGGCTCCGTAAATTCCTTGAATGCACTTGAGCTCCCTCCTTGATGATTAAATCCCGGGAAGCTCGACACACCTACAAAACAAGTCAAACAAACGGAGAAGCGAGGGAAATAGCCGAGAAATGAATAAAATAATAAGAAAACCATTAAAAGCACGTATTTCTCTAAACTAACACACAACACACAAATAAAGCATTATTCCCTAAAATACGACATAAAATACTAAAAACGAGCATAGAAATATAAAGAAAACATAGCCTAAAAATGCCATAAATGGCACGGATCAGGTATTCGACCTATAGCTGTGGGTATTGTTTGGCGGCGCCTGGTTTCGAAGGTTGGTGTTGTATGGTTGGCTAGTCTTTGGGTAGTTACTTTGTTGGTCTTCAATTTGGAGTTGGGGTTTTTTCAAGTGGTGAGGCAATTCTTCATGTTGTGAATCGATTGATTGAGGATCGTGTTTCTAATGTTGGTCTTTCAATGTTGTTGGTGGATTTTCAAAATGCCTTCAATCTATTTGATCGTACGATCATGTTACATGAAGTTCTTCATCGTTGTTCGGGCATTCGCGATGGGTTGAATTATGCTGCTCTAATCCTGCCAGATTGTATTATAGGGACCACACCTTAGGTCGTCTCAGGGGGTGCAACAGGGAGATTCCCTTGGTCCTCTTTTCTTTGGTTTTACAGCCCTGGTATGTAAAATCAGAGATGCTTTTGAGTTATATCTTGAGGCATGGTATTTGGATGACGTCACTATTATTGGTGACACTTTGGTTTTGGTGAAGGTTTTGGAGTTGATTATGAAGGAAGGGCCTCGTTTTGGGTTACATCTCAACATGGAAAAAACTGAAGACCCGAAGCAAGCTTGTGGGTGTCTTTTCGCCTAATATTGCTCGACCTTTGCGCTTGGTGATCCCGCTAGTTTCGATTTTGGTTTTGGAGGTGATCTTGTGATGCAGAGGGTGACTAAGACCATTGCGCTAATGGATAGGTTTTCTAAGCTCGATGATCCCCTGTGCGAGATGTTGTTGCTTATGGCATTTACCGGAGTTTATAAACTCTATTTTGCTTTGCATACGTGTCCTCCTAGTACTTTTGAGGTGGCTCAACGCACTTTCGACGATGCTCTTCAATCATCCTTGAAGCGTATCGTTACTTGCCTGGGTTTGGTGATTGGCAGTGGTGGCTTGCCACCTTATCATTTGCATCTAGAAAACTTGGTGTTGATTCCGCAGGTGATGTTCGTCAATATAATTTCTTGCCTCTCGATTACAGTTTGCTGGGTTGCAGACAAAGCTTCTACGGCATGCCCGCGTTGTTGGCCTTGGTCGAGCCTTTACAGATGCATTGGGTCTATTTAATGGAACTGTAAAGTCTGACATTTTGAGTAATCCTAGTGAGGTCGTTGCCCCTAAACTCCCATTAAGAAATTGGCAGATATATACTTCACAAAGGTTACCGCTTCTGCATCATCCACCTTCTCTTTATCTCCTCAACAATAAGCATTGTGGAAATCGCAGCAGGGAGATCACATCTCTGCTTGGCTTCGAACGGTTCTTATTTCAGGGTTGGGTCAGATGATGAACGCAAAGACTTACCGATGCGTGTTGTGCTACTGCTTGGATGTTTCATTGTTCTTTGTCTCGACGTCGTGCTCTTCTTGTTCAAGGGTTTTGACTAGGGTTATTTTCGGTGATCACGTGGTGTCGTGTGCTGGTATGGTAGGCATTAAACATCGGCATAATGTTGTTCGGGATACCCTTGTTGATATTTGTTATCGATCTGGGATTTCAGCTAGAAAAGAGGTTGACATTGAGTTGTTTGGAGGAAACAGCAGGGCTCTCAGACCTGTAGATGTGTTACTTTATTACTGAGATCGTGGTCTCGACGTCTGTGTTGACTTGACAAGGTCTTCTCCTTTGACATGTGTTATCCGACTTTGTTCCTGGGCAGGTTGAGGCTGATGCGGCTCATTGGAAGCGGGTTAATTACGAATCCAGTTGTCGGGTAATTGGATGTGGCTTCCTTCCTTTATCTTTCTCTTCACTTGGTGAATTAGAGAAGGAGGCGGTTGCATTGCTTGAAGTGAATCCAAAAGTTCCCGAAGAGTCAAGACATTGGGACATGTGATGCCTTATATCTTCACTAGGATATAATTTGCTATAGATAGAGGAGTAGGGGCCTAAATTGTATATCGGATTCCCACTAATATTTTGTTGGTTGTATGACTTGTCTGTTTTTGAGATATAATAATATTAATAATGATAATAATCCCTCCATGTTTTTAAGTGTTATAGTTTGACCGGCACATAGTTTTAGGCAATTTAATTGACTTAAATAAAATAAGGGGTAAGTGGGGTAGTTGGAGTATTAAAAAATTTATAAAAGATAGATAGTGGGGTTAATAGTTTATTAAAAAGTAATGAACGTGAGAGGAAAGATATAATAAAAAAAGTAGTAGTAGGTTTGGCTGGGGACCATGAGATGAGAGAGATATAGGCCCTGTTTGGCAATTGGTTGTTGGCTGTCGGTTGTTTTAGTTGGCTGGTTTGACTGGCTGTTTAGATTGCCTTTTGAGTTGGTTGTTTGACTAAAGTTGTAGTGTTTGGTAAATTGGCTTGTTGGGTGGTAGTTGTTGTTAAACTACACAACACTAATTAGTAATTATTAACATTAATTATTGATTATTGATAATAATTTTCTATAACTAATTATAATTTAAATTAATTAATTATTGGTTATTAATTAAAAATAATTGTATTAGTTATAAATTGATAATTATCAATAATAATGTACTATAAATTACTAATATTTTAAATACTAATTATTAAAAAATAATTATTAAACACAAATAATTATGTTTCAAAGAAATTATTAATTATCAAATATTTAATTATCAAATATTAAATTATTAATTACTAACTATTAACTATTAATTATTAATTACTTCCTCCGTTTCTATTTAGTTGACTCGTTTGATTTAGGCACATATATTAAGGAGAGGAGAGAGAGTGAGAGGGAATGAAAAAGCAAGTGAGACAACATGTAAATGCAAGGTAAAAAAATTACCCCGAAAGGAAACGTGTCAACTAAAAAAAAATTCCTAAAAAGGAATACGTGTCAACTAAAAAGAAACGGAGGTAGTATTAATTATTAATTACTAATTACTAATTATTAATTATCAATTATTAATTAATTAATTATTAATAATTAGTTATTAATTACTAATTATTAAATATTAATTACTAATAATCTTTTATTATGACTAATTATTATTAATCAAAAGTTAATTATGTCAACAAGCCAAAAGCTGCTCCAACTAGCTTTTTGCTTTTGGCTTAAAAGCCAGCTTTTCAGCTAGTTAAAAAAACCAATAACCAAACATGTTTTTTGGCTGTTTGACCAACTTGAAGAAACCAAAAGCCAAAAGCCAAGTAAAAAGCTGGTTTCCAAGCACCCCCATAATATTTTAATGTAGCTTTTTGTCAAAAAAGGAAGTGTAACACTTAAAAAAACACGACCGGAAATGGAAAGTGTAACACTTAAAAAAACACGGAGGGAGTAATAATAATATTAAGACTAATGACTATTCAAAAAAAAAATAAGACTAATGAAATCTACTCTAAAATCTGCTCTACCAAGAAGCTAAAAAGGACATGGCCTTTGTCAAATTCAATTATCATTATATTGAACATGTTTGTCCAGTGTGTTCATTTTGCTAGTAACATATCATCTACTGTGTCACGGTCATTGGGGCTTGTGACGGCTGAGCAAGGGGCTCTTTGAGGTTTGTGGGCACTAGTAAAAGAGCCTAAAACAACATTCAAAGCAAATGGTAGGACCCTAGAATTCGTTAACCAATTGCTTGAGCTTTAATTTACATTTAAATTATTCTCTAAGTGAACACTAGGTTGACAATAACACAATAATTCTATCTAGAGCCCATAATATTCAAAGAAAAGTTTTATAAAGCATTACATAAGCTAAACACAAGCAAAGGGAAAGAAAATACATAGAGAAGACTAGAAGAGAGGTATATTCTAACAATACGCCGCCAGCCAAAACGCTGGTTCGTGAACAACCATTTATACAATACACGAGTAAAATGCTCCTGGGCTGCTAATCCTGATATCATATCAGTATTCTGGGCAAGACTATTGACTAATCTCCATCAACAGCTTCTCAATAGCTTCAGTTGCGAGGGGAACATATAAGCAATCCTGCCCATCAGAATGTTTTCGAGTCTTCACCAACTCGTGATCTTTAAATTCCGTCAGGTGGGAGTTCAGAGTGACCTGACTACTCACAAGGAAGCGCTCCCGACAAATTGCGTATAAATCATTGACTGTCATCCCTGAAAGAATTTTTTTTCCCAGAGATGAGAAAAAGTGTATTAATGTGGGGAATCAACAGCCTAAATCGCATATATTGGTGAATAAGAGCAAAAGGTTACTCACCTTCTTCATCAGGATGAGCCAGTTGATACTCCACAAGAACTTTGAACACACTTTGGGCATTTGGTGTCAAACTTTGTAGAACTATGGCAGCTGTTTTCGCAGTTTGGCCACTACCGCTGTGCGCAAGAATCAGAGGATGGAACGTTGTTTCAACCTTGTATGGCGCAAAGGTTGGGACATGATGGCAGCACCAGTTGAACTGTGTGTGGACCATCTTTTTATCCCATACTGCCACCCAAAGAAAAAGCATGCTAGTAGTTAGGTCCTAATTCTAATGAACTTAGATCCATATGTAATAATAATCATAATAGAGCTAAATCAAGGAACAAAATATCCAAGTTAGCTGATTGCCAGAAATAATATGATAATAATAAGCACACACTTGCATCCAGTAATTGTAATTATGCTTCATTGTTTGAAAATAGCTTAGATTGTAAGTGCAGCAAACTATTTTGACAATTTGGCAGGCAGAAACAGAAAAACAGAACATGTGCCAGTTATATCAGCAGTTTTAAAATTGACATGACCGAAGTTTTGAAGAAAGTTGGAATAAAGGAAATATTTGTGAAAAAGCTAGAACATATAGATAGCAGCTAATGGAAGCAGAAGGCAAAATGCCTCAGACAAATGATGCATGATATGTTTAGATCAAGGTTTTGAATCAATGATTTGATTGTGCATTATATGTAATGTAACCCTATGAATTTCAGTGAAGAATAAACTACAGGAGGGGTGAACGAGAAAAGATTAAATAAATAAGTAATTATAATCAAAGGACATCACTATAAAGAGTTCAATTCCCTAAAAGTCTCAAAGAGGAGAAAAAAACAAGGATAATAATCCTTACACAATGATGCATTTACATGATCAATTGATGCAACAATTCGAACATGAGAGCATGCAGCCATCCGTGCAAGAAATTGCTGAGTGTCGGTATCCCGTAAACCAGGTCCATCAATATTATGAATTAGAACACACACAAAAGAATCATTTTCCTCTGCTAGTGATCCATCCAGAAAAGCAAAGATTTCATCTGTGGATTTAGAATTGTATGGTAGTTGAGCTTTAGACAAGCTTTCAGTTGTTTTCCTACTGGATTTGATTTGATCCCATAAAAGTTCAGCCACTGCAGCAATGACCTGCAGTACAGAACATTGTTAAAAAGATCATGCTTACCTGGGGTCAAAGGTGCACTTACAAACATGACAAGGGGGAAGGTAAACAGTACACCTATGAATCTAGGATGGAGAGAAAAGGTTTTCCTTGAGAGGAAAACATTTCCTCTAAACAGTTTACCTGTTTGATATTTACTGATTGTAGATAACCGTTGACTACAAGCACTGAGTACTCGGTCAAAGTCGTTGAAGCAAAATCTTCAGTCAAGGCTTTCTTTGATCCAAAACCATACATGAGAAGGCCAAACCCACACCTGAGTTAATGACATCAAATTGAAAACAATGATAAAAATAATCTTAATATTCCATTTAAGTGTATGCCCGTGACTCCACGTACAAGATCAACTAAAGAAAACTTAAAGCCCAATATGTTAGGTCTTGATAGATTGGTCATTCGCAAACAATAATGGCAACATTCACTTAGCAGCCTAGTGCTCCATGCTCCAAGTGTTCGAGTTAATTATTGTCACAATCATCATTACATGCGTTCTTTAAATTTCATCATCTGAAAATATTAGGTTAAAAGCTTCTATTTGCATCATCAAACTTACATCAAGTGAAGCACATTTGCCCTGACTTTTTGAGCATGGGAGGTATAGGGAAGACAATATGCAATACAGCTTTAGAGACCTTACTCTGCCATATCGGCTAAACTCTTGACTTATCTAACACTACATGATAATGAAAAGAATTTTTCCTATAGTATAGTTAATAAGCTTGATATTACTTCTCTTAACATTGATTCTTTAACAGCCAGTATCAAAGTTCCTCTCAACCAACCTCAAGGATACAGAAAAATCTAGGCAAAAACAGCAAGTTACAATCCAAGATCAAATAACAGAACGAAACATAGGGATAATGGCCCAAAAAATAGTTCTGAATTCCTATTCCTCCAGTTCCAATCTCCACACATTCACATCTCTGATCAACAGGTCACTTAAATTATGCTTCAACTCTCAGCAATCCTTCTCTGAGAGAGCTTGAGATTTCAAGAGTATTATCCCTTTAAGAGAAGGTGCACTGCTAACTGTTCCTATTAAATTACAGCACAGGAAAGTTGTGATCATTACTGATCTAGTGATTTCCACAAAGTCAGCCTCTAAGTATATATATTAATATATACGACGTATATGGAAGTCAGATGTCAGGTTAGGAACTTATTTTTTACTCCATTTCACTTACAACTAAAGAGGATACATATTTCATGTAGCCTACTATAGTACAAGTAGTATGTAACAACATTTCAAGTTTTAACAAACGCATAGAACTAGGCAATATTATGCATGGCTTTATGTCATCAAACAGAGGTGCTCATCATAAGACCGCCAACAACTAAAGTAAAATAAAATAATAGGAAAAATAGAAGTCCCAATTTATCTTCCAAATTGCTTCAGGCAATAAAAGATATAATAAAAAAGATGTTACATGTAACAAAAATTAATTAAAAGTGGGTTGAGACTTGAAAGAAAAAGTAGTAAGAGAAAAAGATGGAATGAAGTAATGAACATAATGTTAACCCAAACATGGATACACTTGGGCAATGTACAAGCATTCAAGGACATAAGGCATCCATTAAAATTATTCCATAATATAAAAGACATTTGCACGATTTCACATGAAAATTTCAGGCTAACTTGTTTGCCATTTCTTGTCGAATATTTAATTACAAGCTGATATGCAACTGAGAAATTCTTGCAAATGAATTAACAGAAAAGAAAGTAGGATAAAATCAGATCCAAATTAAGTTTAAAGACAAAATAATTTTCCGGCATTGATCTTCATTTGTCTTAAATAATATAACTCTACAATGAAAGTACAATAAGAGGCAGCATATAACTCTTGTACCCTCTTCCCCTATTTCTATATTGTTCTCTACCAGCATGTATTTCAAAATAATGATGTAACCAATAGAAATTGGAAGTGTCACTCAAGATAAATGAAAGTTCGGGTTACACATAAAGTTCGGTACAGTGCAGTAGAGAATATATAACGTCCACAAAGGAACTATGTGCCTATGAGACCATAAGGGCAGTGAACTAAAAGTGAACAGCAAGATTGAATCTTTGGTACCAAGTAGGACATTAATCAATAGTTTATAATATCCTTAAATAGTTTATCCCACCAAGAGCAAGATTGTATAAAAAGCTTGATCACCTTTAAATAAAGCACACAACTAATTACAGGAAATTGTTTGGTATCCATATAAAGCATCCTAATGCAAGACCTCAACTCAATACATATGGTGCTGACTGCTGATCCTGTTCTTTACAGAGATACAAAAAAAAAAATAGTGCAGCGAAATAATTGCTTATAGAATTAATGAATTAAGCATTAACGATGATAGCCTCCTTACACATTTGCAAATTAGGCTAGGTTTATTCGCAAATGGAAGGCCAAAGTGCTAAAAAAACATAGGTAATACTAATTAGCCAGAAATATGTATAGTTAGCATAAAATCATACAGGCATCAATTCTTATATCCTTAATCCATGAAAATATTGAGATCAACGAGAATAATAGCTATCTATTTCAAACTTCCTTGGGTGAACAACCAAAAAAAAAAAATCAAAAAGTACCTCAGTTCAAACAACCAATCCTGATATAAACTCCTATAGCTATCCATCAATGCTTTAACTTCTTTTTCATGCTTCGGTTGGAGATCCATAGCCGCGGCTCTAAGTTCCTACAAGTGTACATTAATTTATACAATCAATTATAAAAAAAAAAAAACACATCGAGGCACACAACCCATAAATTCTAGGAAGCTTTCAATATACCTCCTCGGGAACAAGATCAATATCAGAGAGTTTATGCCCTGATTTTTTCGCCGAAGTGCCCGATTCTTTTGCCAGGAAGTAATTCCTAGAGAACCCAAAGTCCTCATCTTCCACATCATTGATATCCATTACCACCTTCAGGTAAAAAAAAAAAAACTACCAATTGAGAAACCTCATCAAGTAATCAACCACTTAAGTAGATGATATACTCAGACCTTATTTTATTTTATTTTTTTCACAAGCATTTTAACAAACAGGTGGTGGTCATATTATATTCCATGAAAATTTTCAATTTTGGTAATTATAAGACCACCAAAATTGAAAAATTATACAATATTTTTCTAACAACATTCAATTTACACCATAAGGACATAACCTGATGAATATAACAATTTTCTCATAAGAATTCGTTTTCATTCCAAAACCCTACGTTTTTTTTTTTTTTTTTTATTTACCAGAAATTCGAAGAAGTAGAACCTGCAGAACAGAATATAGGGGCCAAAGCACACACTACGGCACAGTTACACCAGTACGAGGCAACCACAGAAGAAGAAAAAAAAAAAAAAAAATCGAACCAGAGATTAGTAATTGCAGAAATTGATTCAGTAATTTGGAATATAGAATTTAGAAATTTAGGGATTTAGAAATGTAGAGATTAGAGAAAATTTTTTAGAGATTTAGGGAGTAGAATTGTAGTTGCTCCGATACTATGTCACGAAATAATTTTCCGTAATTTGTATTAGAGTATGAGTAGCGTATTTATACAAGAAATAAGGGCTCATAAAATCGCCCATTAGCTATACAATCTACACACTAAATATAGGCCCTAACATTTTTTTTTTCAGATTTTATTCAATGACTTACAGCAATTTCAACTAAAACAAAATACATACAAGAGCAATCAAAAATACTATACTGTAAATACGGAAGTGTTGAATAAATACTTACCTAGAGGAGTTGAAGTATACAAATATTAGTTGGATAGTGACCTTGAATGAAATTTGAGGGTGTATCTTCAATCTCCCGCGCAAATCAACAAACCCAATTTATAGACTTTGCTCCTAGACCCGGCTAAAAAGGCTAAATTCAGCCATAAAACTTCTAGCTTGTTTTTCGGCGACGGAGTACGAGGAGCTTCCTTACCCTTTACCACCGCTGCTCCATTTAACTTGTTTAATTTGAGTGGGTTAATGGATGAAAATAGGAGAGAGAAAGAGGAGAGATAGAAGAGAGTTTGGAAAAGGGGTGTGTTTAGGTGAGAAGAAAATAGGAAAGAGAATAGGAGATAGAGAAGAGATAGAGAAAAATTATATTGGTTATACAAAATTAATCGTAACTTTTACTCCGTAATAAATAACTTATAACTCGGTATTATTTCCATAGTAAGATTCGTTATATTTATTTAAAATATATTTAAATAAAAAAATAGAAAATCAATAAAAATAAGTTTTAATCAGAAAAAATAATTTTAGCTTGGTAAAAATACATTCAGTTCATTAGAAATAATTTAATTGCAATAAAAAAATATCAAGTTAATAATACCGTAGATATCTATTTACAAATAAAACTACAAAAAGTACACTATATATTTCGTATGTCTGAATACTTTACATTATCAAAAGGGGGCATATGATCGTATTTAAGCTAAAAAATTTAGGACAATCTGGGCATCGCCCGAGTACAAACTAGTTTTCCATATATTTTCCTAGATGTAAGCCTGTGCGATGCACGATTCTAGTAAATTATTTTATTTAATTTAAAATTTTGTATATTTATGAAGATCATTCATTAGATATATGGATAAATGTTCTAATATCATAAGATAATTTTTTAATTTTAACACTAAAGTTATATTTTGTTGTTTTATTTATTTTATGTGACGCTTGAATTTAAAATCTCAAACTTATTCACTAATTTTGCTTATGTGACAATTTAAATTTTTATTTCAAAAATTAAATGATAAATCTTGTTTTTTTATTGATCAAAATAAGTCTTTTGCCTATGCGTTTATTTAATATACTCGTTCTGTTTAAAATGTTAGTCTCATTTATAATCGTTTAACTATTAAAAATTATGGGAAATTAGTCATATGAGATTTAGTTTTATTCGTGTCGATGAGTACATTATTAAAATCAAATTTTTATAATATTTTCTAGGGAGAGATTAAAGATATTTGCGATCAAAAATTTGCATTCATATATGTAAAAAAGATAATTATTACTTTTTTTAGAGAAGATAATTATTGGTTTTTTTAAAATAATTTAAATTGTAATTATTCTCTATTCGTTGTTTTTACCTATGTATCAAAATTCTTAAATCTTATTCGTCACTTTTGCTTAGGTGGGGAGTAAATTTATTAATTCTAAAATAAATTATTAATCTAATTTTTCATTTGACAAAATAATACCATTTCTTATGTGGTGAGCCAAATGCTCCCGAAAAATGCCTACATTATTTATATATACTAGATGGAAGCCCTTGCGATGCGCAGTTTTTTTATACATATCTGAAAAGATTATTTTCATAATGTTAAAAGATATTTTTTATTATAAAATTTAAATTCTAAATAACTATTCGTAGTTTTTTTTTTTTTGACACTTGATTATACTCTATTTTAAAGTACGAAAAATTGATGGGAATAATCCCACTTTTTGAGCGTTGAAAATTAATAATCCCACCTTTGGGATTCTTTTTAATAATCCCACCTTTCTTTTTAATAATCCCACCTTTGATATCAATCCGCTCAAAATACTCCCGGGTGACTAGTGACCGGTTGAAGAAGTAATTTTTTTTATTAAGTTTATTTTACACGTGTCACAATTTGATTTGTCCAAAATTTTTAAAAAAAAAAACACCACCTAAGCTACACCACAGCCACCACCATCCCCACCACCCAGACCCAAAACCACCGCCACCACTAACCGGACCCGAAACCAAACCACCGTACCGCTATCCACCCCAGCCAACCCAACCCTAAAACCACCTTCAAAAATCAACCCACAAGCAACCCTGTCTCCCCGCAACTAACCTTCGTCACCACGCCGCTCCGGCCAGCCATCCCTAACCCAACTCCGACCTTCCCTGTCCCCTATTTTCGGGGCGCCGATCTTACCTGTCCCCCATTCCCACCGCGCCTTCCTCCCCTGACCTCCATTCAGGTCAAAAACCCACCAAACCCAAAACCACCTTCCAATTTAATAATCAAAAATTCACCAAATCGAAGCCGGGGAAAAGGGTGGGAGGCCGAGATCGGGACGGAGGAAGGGGAGGGCTCGGGATTGTGGCGGAAAAAACGGTTTTCAAGGATTGTGGGATGCTTGGTTTTCAATGGTATTTGTAGCGGTGGAAGGGAGGTTGGTGGTTCGGGGGAGGCGGAGAAGGGACGTCGGCGCTGGGGGAGTCGATTTGGGCGATTGGCGTTGTTGGGTGGCTAGGGCTGGGCAGTTGATTGGTGGCGGGGAGGGTGGCAAGGGGCTGGGCAGCTGATTGGTGGTGGGTGGTTTTTTTTTTTTTTTTATAAAATATCAAACTTTTTTTAAAAATGTATTTTATTTTATTTTTATTTTTTTGACCATTCATAGGCCGCCACGTGTCAAGTAACCTGTTATAACAGGTTACTTGACCTGTTGGGACTATTTAAAGTGAATTGATATCAAAGGTGGGATTATTAAAAAGAATCCCAAAGGTGGGATTATTAATCTTCAACGCTCAAAAGGTGGGATTATTCCCATCAATTTTTCCTTTAAAGTATCTCATTATCATCAGATATTAGGATTAAATTTTTAATGTGAAACGATTTTTTTTATTATTATATATCCTCTTTGAACTTTTGTTTGTATAACGAAAACGTGTTGTTCATCTATACATATATAAATATAGAATCACTATTTTTTTTTTTGAAAGATATAGAATCACTATTTTTCTTTCACAAACAATAACTTAGACCATCATTATTCTTTTCCCCCGTATCAACTTTATACGATAAAAAAATTAATAAATCAAACCCAAAACTATATGGTAAAATAAAGATGGTGGGAGAAATAGTACGAAAATATGAATTTTTAAATTTTTAAATAGTTAAATGAAAAATATATACCAAGAGTGTTGCATTACTGAAATTAATCTAATTGAATAAAATTAAATTTTATAATGAACTTTCATTATCACATTTGATTGCTTGATATGAAACTATTACTCAATCAATCATTAGAATATAGAAGTTGCCAAAAAAAATTATAATAAGATAAGTAATTGTAGACACCTAAAAATGTCTCCCCAAAACCAAACCCGATAATGAACAACCTTTCACCGCCATTATTGGTCGGGTTGAGTATTTAATCTTGGAGTGCTTAAATCCATATTTCCATTTCATAAACCAACCCAACTTCTAGCTCATTTTCCCAAACCATAACTTATTTTCCTCTTTTCGTGCCTTTAAACCCAAAATAATTCATTTCTTGTCCTTTAAAATCATTCATTTCGCGTCCTTTTTATAAAAACGTTTAATCCAGTTTATTTTGGTCCATAATCTGGGTCCAATTATTAAATAATTGAATGGGGATTGAAAATAGCTTCCAAACGATATATTATAAGCCCAAATCCGAGTTATAACGAATAAGTTATGACCAAAATATTAAACTGAGCCCAAACCGAACCTAAGCCCACCTTACCTACGACCCAATGATCATGTGGAGGGTCAAAATTATTTAATCCCATTTCTAAACCAATTAGGATTAATTAGAAGCTTCTATAAGTTTTTAAAAGATCCTAATTATCCTTTTTGAAAAGATAAGATTAAAGAGTTTGAAATTGAATAAAATTCCTTTTTTTGAAAGTCCTAATTCTATCCGAATTGAAAGACATTCAAATATAGACAGATATTATTTTAGTGCCTCATATTTTTTATCCAAATTTTATATGGTTGGATAGACCTTGAAATTATCTTTCCAATGATATATTATAATATCAATTCCGAGCTATAACGGAAAAGATATGAATAAAATGTCAAACTCTATCCAAAACTGACACTGTCTCACTATTTCGGCCATATATTTTATTCTACAAACTATTTTAATCTGATTCTAATTTTTTTAGCAAGTATACTTCAAGATCTTTCCAACGATATCTTATTCATCTTATTCCAATTTCTGGATCAAAAGATATGATAAAAACAAAAACCGCAAAAACTGCTGTCTATCGCAAGAGTTTTATCCGATTCGAATTCTTATCTTTTCTTGATTCTTCGACCCTCTTTTTTTCTATAAGTAGAGGTAATATCTCCCCTTTTTTCAAGGAGGAACAATCTTGATCATCAAATCCTTCTCTCTTTCACACCAAAAATCATTCTCTTCTCTCTCTCCTATATTCTAAGCCTTAAACCTATATTCCTAATTACATCATTCATCCCTTAACCACTCCAAGGAGTCTATACTAAACCCGAGGTTCCGTCCTTAAACCAACGCGTGAAAGGTATAAATAACTGAGGGTTTGGACCAAATCAAATCTATATTTAATTAATTTAATTGTTTTAATTTAATTGTTTTAATTTGATTTATATTTTTATTGAAGTTACTAACAGTTTATTCATGATGTAGAAATTTAAAGGAACATGCGGAATGTGAGTAATTAATTAATTTAATTACTCTTTTTTATTTTAATATTGCTAGTATCATGATTAGGTTATTTTATATTTGATTTGACTCACATTATTATTGTCAAATTGCTTCCAATATAATTGAGAATTCTATTATGTTTATTGATCACCATATTGCATGTTTAAAGGGAATATGTAATTGAAAATCACGCCTAAATAAGATAATTTGGACAACCGGTTTAGGTTCCTTTTTAATCTTATCGTTTAATCAAGTGATCACTAATATTTTAGAATTATGTGTTGCATTAATATTAAACCAATTTAGCTTAATAATAGTTTGGAGCAAATTGAATCTTTGTTTGTATGCCTTTGAGATCGCAGGAATCACTTTTCACTATAAGAATCGAGTAGAGGCCAATACGGGCGAATGTGACTCCATGACTCACTTCGTACCATCATCCCGGATCCTCCTTTCGTGGTTCCGAACCATATGGAGTTAGTAATATCATGGATTATGAATGGGGTGTAACCTTCACGGGTCAATCGTTGTTTTCTTCGTTGTCCCTTATTCATGGTTGCCTTAAATGATCCGTGAACGGTTTACAAGTTCCTTAAAAACTTGTTGGCGGCTCCCTACTTTCCTTGTCCCTAATCGTATACGTCAATTCCCACTTCCTAAGAGTGCCAAGCATATTCACCACATGCCTTTACGTAGGCGCACTTCGAGCGACGCCTACAGTAATATACTAATATCATGATTTTTTGAACGAATGAAGCATAGCATGAGTATAATAATGTGTACAAATCATTAGTATCATCCCTAATGAAAAACTAAAGTGTTAAAAAGTTAATCATTACTCTGCAAAATAAATCTAGAAGGTTGATATAAACCTCAACCTTTTATGATAATATTACTTTCCATCCACCAAAATATTGAAATCAATGACCCAACCAGTGGTGAGCTAAATAACGTTTATATGGAGTGAGTCCAATAGTGAGCTTAAAAAAACATTTATAAGGGTGAGTGGACTGAGTTGGGAAGTCAGTGATGAGCTAAATAAACGTTTATATGGGGTGAGTCCAATGGTGAGCTAAAGAAACGTTTATAAGGGTGAGTGGGAATGGGATGGGAAGTGCCAGGTTTATATATGGTGTTTGACTTTAACTATGTGCTATTATGAAATTCATGATAGACTTCATAAAATTCTATCAAGAAAATCATTTTTTTTTTATTTTTTTATTCTTATATCATGACAGACTTCATAAATTATACCTTGTAAATCAATTTTGTTTAACTTTTTTTTTATAATTATCTAAAAATGAATAGATTTGTTTTCTACTTATTTAATCTTTATATTATATTATATATATTCTGTTTTTTAAATTATATTTTTCTATGTATGGAATATTATAAATCAACTACCCCACTTTATCATCTACTAATTAAATTCTCAAAAAAAAAAAAACTATTCTTTTGCTTTATATCCAAAAACGTTTATGTTAATGTATGTAATATCATTGTGCTAAATCAACCTACTTTATCTTCTATTAATTAAATTTTCAAAAAAGTCTATCTTTTGTTAAAAAAATCTTGTTATCTTTTTAATTTACTTATCTATGTTAACTTACAAAAACTATCTAATTTATTTTAGTTTATAATAATGCTTGAATATAAACTCTCAAATCCTATTCGTTAATTTTGCTTATGTGGAAATTGATTTTTTTAATTCTAAAATAAACTGTAAATCTATTTTTTCAATGGTCGAAATAATGACTTTGCTTATGTGGCGCTCCAAATGCTCTCGAAAAATGCCTACTTTATTTATATATATTAGATTAGATTAGATTGTATAAAATATTATTCTATTTTTTTTTATTTTTGTTTTGGTGTTCCACCTGGTTCCTTTAGACTAATTCAGATTCGGGGCTCAATTTTATAATAAATTAAGATTCAAACTTTTTTTAATGCCATTCAAATATATATGAGGATTTTTTGATAGATTTTTAATTAATATTATAATTCATTGTAAAATTTTGAAATAGTCGTGTGTGACACGGGGCTTAATCTAGTTGTAGTCAATTTCGAGTTAGTTTAAGGTTAAAATATACAAAAACTAGATGAAGCCCGTGCATTGCACGATTTATTTGTATTTTTTAAAACAAACATGTTTTGTATATATTTATGTGATAAAGTTTTTTATTTTATTTGTTGAACATAGTATATCATAATAAAATTCCTAATTGCAAAAGATAATACATTATATTTAATTAATTTAAAATTTGAAATCTCATTTGCCAATTTTGCTTATGTGGCATTTTAATTATTTAATTTTAAAAGAATTTACAAATCTTTACTTGGTTGACTATCATTAAAATGTATAATCGTACCTAACACGTCAAGAATATTTTATCCTACATGACTCTCTAAAAACTCGGGAAAAATTCCCCTTTATATATATATATATATGCTCGTGCGATCCACACGGCTTTGTTTTTGTCTTTTTTTTTTATTTTTTTTATTTTGATTAAATAAGAATAGATAATGTCATTAATACAAAGACATTTATTATTCTAATATGGATAAGCTATTGCAATTGTTTTCAAAGAAAAAAGAAAAACTATTACAATTAATTAAAAAGATACTTTTTTATTACAAATATAAAAATAAAATTTCCAAGTTCAAAGTATTCACTTTTCTTCACCTCTATGTAAAGTTTATTTTTTTATTTTTTTATTTTTAAATTTGTAGTTGTGGTACATGTATCTTGGGCTTCCCATGAATGATGCTCGCAGAATTATTCTATTCCCCTCTATCTTCAGCCCCAATTATTTAGTATGTAGTATGTCCTTTTTCTCTAGTTACGGTACATGTACCTTGGGTCTCCGATGAATGATGGTGGCAAGATTATTCTTTTTCCGTCTTTGGCCGTTGTAGTTGTATTTTTGTTTACCCATTGCATCCCTAATGGTATTGTAAATTTTTACTTTAAGTTGTGGCTGATGTTCTCGAAGATCCTCACCATATGGGTTAAACAAAAGGTATTATATCCCTAACCCTTTAAAAAGAGGGAACTTCTCCAAATGAAAGTAATAGTGATATGAGTCACAAGTCGATGAAAATTACTATTCATACGTTGCAAAATTGCAAGAGTTTGACCAACTTGCATTTGGATGCAATTTCATTTAATTTGTTGAGTCACCAAATTATTTCTCCCTAATTTCCTCCCTTCCATTCATTTCCCTTCTGTCACGCTATTGTGCTTCCTCTTTCATTTGATTAATTAATAAAAAAAAAAAAAAAAGGGAACTGTCTTGCTGCTTCTCCATTTTCGCCCAGCCTCTTCTATTATTGCAACCCGTCTTCTCCATCCTCGTCTCTTCGAGACTCCATTGAAGCCATACTCTGAATCCTCTCCTCTCCATTGAAGTTGTACTCTAAATCTTTTCCCTCTCCACTGAAGTCGTTCTTTAAATTCTCCATTGAAGCTGCACTCTTAATTCTCCATTGAAGTCATACACTAAATTCTCCCTTGAAACGGTTTCGATCTGAGCTTTTTGCTCTCCATTGAATCGATTCTTAGGTAAATTGTTTTTTTTCCTGTAAAGCATCATCGACTATCAATTTCACAATCTATGGTTTGCTTTTAATTTTATTTTCATTATTTTTAATTTTAGGTAACTGATTTATTAAGGTATTGCTGCAAACGTCAATTGTAGAATAGGGTTTATCGAACCCCTAAATTAATTTTTATCTGTAGTTTGTTCACTACTTTAATTGCAGTTGTAAACGTCAATTGGAGACTAGGGTCAATCGCAACTCTATTGAAGCCACCAGATCTTTTTCTTTCTCAAGAATGGTGGTGAGAAGGAGTCCTCTGCTACGCGCATTGTTGAGATCGAAGAATCACCTGATCAAAGAGCTGTAGTTTTGTGTCAGGTATAATTTAATGTTCTTTTGTGTATACATTTTGTGTTTGTTTGGTTTAATTGAAGTTATGATATAGTAAAATGAGTAAATTATTTAATTTTATTAATTGGTATTTTGAGATGCTGTATAATATATGATTTTGAAGTATTTTGATGGATTGTTGTTGATAATGTGATGAATAATGGTGTTGGGTAAACCTAAGTTGAGTTACTAGACTATGTAATGTAGGTATACCTGTTTTTGCTGAGTTGATAAGGTGATCACTGAGATTGAAAGTGATGAACTTCGAATCATAGATAAGATATTGAGGTATGTGAACTGGTTTTTGAGATGTTAGAATATCTTAGGTGGTGGTATATGTAGACTGCAATGCCGTAAAAATGATTGATCTAATAGGGAAGTTGATCTCACCAATTTATGACAATGTTAGAGGATTGTGTAGGGTTTTGATTGATTCGTTGTTTATGTTGGCTTTTTAAGTAGTTATTACTTATTTTTGGCAAATGAGAGTTTGGACTAGGAAAAGAGACCTACCTCTAATCATTGATGCAGAACATTGGTGATATAATCACTAGTAGAAAAATACAAAAAGGCAACCCCCAAATGGCACCGGTTCAGGCCAAACCGGTGCCAAAAATCGGCCTACAATTGGGCGGGGATTTAGACCAAGAACAATGGCATCGGTTTAGCTCAAACCGGTGCCAAAAATAAAAAGGCCACCGGTTTGAACCGGTGCACCAAAAAAAAACCCGCCTTTTTCCTTTATATACCCTAAGCTAACATACTTCCTTCTCTCTCCTCTAAACTCGGCGCCTCTCCTCCTTCTCTCTCCTCTGAACTCGGCGTTCCTCTCCTCCCCTTCTTCTCTCTCCGACCTCTCTCCCCTCTCTGTCGTCTCTGTCCTCTTCTTTCGATCTCCGATCTCTCTTTTGTCTCGATCTCCGACCTCTCTTCTGTCTTCTGCCCACCACCACTGACGCCACTAACCACCGCCGCCACCAAGTCCGCTTATTTTCAGGTCAAATTTGAGGTTAGTGCATGTTTCTGGGTTTATTTATTCGGGGTAAGGGTTTCTGGGTTTAATTATTTATGTTATATGCCTTAATTTTTTTGGGTTTGATTGTTGTAATATTGTTCAAAATTGATTGGTGTAATTGATTTTGAAATTATTTGGGTTAATTGATTTTGTCATTTTTTGCACTTAATTGATTTTTCGAAATTTCTGGGTTTAATTGATTTTCGAAAGTTTTGGGGTTAATTGATTTTCTGGGTTTGCTGGGTTTAAGTGATTGCTGGGTTTGATTGATTTTCGAAAGTTTTGGAGTTCGTAGATTTGCTGGTTTTATTGGGCGATTTATTTGAGTTTTCTGGGTTGAATTTCATTATAATTCATTGTTTGGGCGATTGATTTGCTAGGATTTATTTGGGCGACTGATTTTCTCTTTCTCTTTCATACATGAGTTTTCTGGGTTATTGTTTTTCGTATTTTTTTTTAGTTTTAATAATTTCTAGGTTTTAATTGATGCAGGTGTTAATTCATGCAACAAGGATTCAAGACTTTGATTTAGGAATATTGTTTTGATGTTGTAATATTTTTTTGGGTTTTTCTACGTGGTACCCTTGAGTTTTTGAGTTTTCTACCTTGTACGCTCCTAAATTCAAATTTCTTTAAGGTGACCTTGAGTTATTAGTTTATTTTACATTATACCCTTAAGTTTTTGGATTTTTCTACATGGTACCCTTGAGTAGTGAAATAAATGGCTCTAAATTAATTTGACTCAAACCCACACCATCCAAACGACTTATTTAGCACCATCAAAGACACAACTAGCATGTTTATTGCAAAAAAAAAAAGGACTAACAACTTGAGTCCCTCTAAAACAAGCTCTTTTAGTTAAAGTAGGAGAAAAAAAAAAAGTTCTTATCTTCCATCTCAAATAATCGTACAAGAGTTCTACTAAATAGCAAATAATGAAGATTGGTGATTCCTCCATCTAATATAAATATAGAAGTGGTAAATAGATCATTTAGATGGCGTCGGTTTGAGTTAAATTAAGTTAGAGTCATTTAATTTACAACTCAAGGGTACCATGTAGAAAAACCCAAAAACTCAATGCAAGGGCACCTTGTAGAATTTAGGATTTAGAAGGGTACAATGTAGAAAACTCAATAACTTAGGGGGTACCATGTAGAAAAATCCTATTTTTTTTGTTGTACAATATCAATTTCTGAGTTGAATTTCATTATAATTCATTGTAATTTTTTAATTTTTTTTTGTATTGTACAATAACAATTTACTTGTTGAATATAATGTGATTATATTTCATTGTTTTTGCTTCTGTTATATCGATTACTAATGTTTGGTTTGTACTCCGTATTTTACCATTTATTTTTGTTTGGTTCGTATTTCTGATGTTTGTTTTTATATTATTTTTATTATTATTGCAAGAAAAAAGTAAAAAAAAAAAAACAATACCAAAAGGTACCGGTTAACCGGTGCCTAAAAGAGCTGCCACTTAAAAAATAATATTTCGCGAAACTATTTAAGGCATCGGTTATCCGGTGCCAAAAAGGGGGGTAATTGGAACCCCCACATTGGCACCGGTTCAAACCGATGCCTTAAGCCGGGTTTGAACCGGTGCCCTTTGCTATTTTTCTACTAGTGAATGTGAACTACTATTAGGATACACAGAGTCAAAATCTGGGTTTGTCACTTGGTGTTTGAGAGAGCAGGCCTTGATTTTTGCTAAGGCTTTTTATTCCTTGGCATGTATTTTTTATATTGTAGTAGCCAGTGGGAGAATTCTAGACGTTGGGAGTATTCAAAATAGTTTGATTAGTCATTAGCTAGATAACACCATTAGTAGTGTGCCATGAAGTGGCAGAAAAATATCCGGAAGTTAGTTAAATGCTTAGTGGTTTTGTCTTCAAAGGAGTGAGTAGTAGCTAGAGCTCCCCTTTCATTGTTCATATAAAGGGAATTCTTATCTATCTTTAACTTTTTTGAATTCCTTTGTGACAGATATTCCGTTGTGGCAGTGTAATCATATTTACTCACCTATTTGAATCTCCATTGTCAAAGAGTTTATTCATGCACCCCCATTCAAAATAAGAAAAAAAAGGATATACTCCACATTTTATACATTCTTTTGGTGCACCTTTAGCTGCCAAGCATAATCATTTTACCCCACAATTTTATATGGAAATAACTTGACATTTATTACAACAATCCGAATTACCATATGATTAGTGTTTGCACAAGTCTTCTCACTGAATGTATATTCTAGGCATGTTGTGTGCAACATGTTTTTCTTGTGAAGTGACATCTCTATTTCTGCATTTATTGATGTTACAGGACATTCTGATCCAGTAAAGTTAAAGGAAGGTGCAAAATCTGTGCAGCGCCTGTCTGATGATGACCTGAAGAGGCGCCAAATAGAAATCAAGGTGTTTATCTTTTAGTACTCAAAATTCTATAAACAAAACATAATGGTCTTTTCTATATCATTACTTTTGCCTTCTTGTTTTCTTTGGTGAAGAATTTAAATTTTATGTAGCTTGCATTAAGTTACTCCTTGTTCAACTGTCTTACCTTGCTACTTGTAGATCTTTTGAAAAAGAACATTGTCTATAATTTAGCTAATATCTTGTGTTTATGCCTTCTCTCAGCAACATATTTACTTATATTTACTAATAGTGACAAATTAAAGATGTGCTAAACATTATAGGTGTGAAGAAGTGTTTTACACACTTGACAAATTAAGATGTCACTGCTTTCATCATAAGTTTTATAACCTTCCCGTTAGTGCAACATGTTCCTGTTCACTCGAGATGATTTCACTTAGTAGAATTCCTTCTACTGTTCTTGTTATAAATTCCAATATTTGTTCTCTTGTGGCAATACACCTGAATCTTTGGCACTGCTACTCCGTATTAGATCTAACATGTGTATGTCTTGTGTCCAAGAATTAATGGAAAAGTTAAAAATGCCTTCAGATGCAGAGCTGATGAAAATTGCAATAGATGACTTGAATAATTCCTCTCTGTTTTTGGAAGACCGCCTTCGTGCTCTGGAAGAGCTGTTGACACTTGTTGAGCCTATTGACAATGCCAATGGTATGTTCTGTACACAGAAGCTTAATATTGCAATTTTAGGGTTCCAACTCTTTATTTATACCAATCTTTATCCTGTTGCAGTTTAGACTGTTAGATTTCTTTGAACTTTTAAAGTAATATTTTAGAACCTTGAAGACCAGGACTGCAGGATATACTCTACAATAGCGCTTTATATTCTCTGTACTCGACTGTGGAATTTGTTAGAGATGCATCGACATGTTTTTTGACATTTTAATCTCTAGCAAACTCTCCTCACCTTCCCACTCCCACCCCAATTTGGAGTCTTCTAATTTTGTCCCCCAAACAAACCATTTTTAGCTCCAACATTAGTCAGCATTGTTTTATTGTTATAGTGTGTTGACAAAAAGATTTTGTTTGTTTTACTTTGGATAGGGCTTTCTAGGTGGTTAATACTTCTTTCGTCATTTTACAACAGATTTGAACAAACTTGGGGGTCTTGCCGCTGTTATAAGATAGCTTGACAATGCTGAGCCAGATGTAAGGAAACTTGCTGCTTGGATTCTTGGAAAAGCATGTCAGAACAATCCAGTTGTTCAGAAGCAGGTTAGCTTATCTGTTCTTCACAAGTAATTCTGCATTTTTGCTGCAGGATACAACCGTATGTGTTCACTATACATTAATGAAAATGCATTATGAACAGGGAACCTCACTAATGGCTAAAAGATGTTTGTTCATGTTATATGATAAGTTTACTTGTGGATTTCAGGTTTTGGATTTTGGTATACTGGCGAAGCTCTTGGAGATGGTGAAATCTGATGCTGTGGAATAGGCCAACAAAGCATTGTATGCAGTTTCTACCTTAGTCAGAAACAATTTAAATGGCCAGGAGAATTTTTACGCGGAAGCTGGAGACTTGACGCTTAAGGGTAAATTAGGATAATTTTGGTGGTATCTGACTTATCCAACTAACACCTTAATTATCTGCTCATCATATTCTGGAAACATAAAATTAAAGATAAATACTAAAGAAAGACCATATTGATGGAAACATGGAACTAAAAGAGAGTTGGGTTCCCTTGGCTATTATTAGGGCATGCTTAGCTTTAATTTTAAGAGGGCTTGAAAGTTGCATTAATGTTCTCTTCTTTGCAGGATATACTGAGCAATTCTACCTTTGACATCAGACTACGCCGAAAATGCGTCTTTCTTATTGGTGATTTGGCAGAGTCCCAATTACAGAATGCTGATCAGACAGAGCTTCCCTTGTTCAGAGATCACGTTTTTCTTAAGGCGATAGTTAATTTAACATCGTCAGATGACCTTGATCTCCAAGAAAAGGTACCCTTTTAATTTTGTTATTTGTGAATCTGAATCGATAATGTGCTTGTTGAACATTCACACCCCAAATTTCTCAATTTTTTTTTTCGTTGTTCGGATGTCATTTCGCCCAATTACCCTTGTTGGATCCTTGGCAATTGGACATTTCACTCTGACGCCTCATTTTGGTAAAAAACAATGGAAAATCAATCTAAAAACGTATCCGTTTTGGACCCTCGACACTCGGACATATGTGGGACACTTATTCAAAATCATGAAATTTTTTCACAAAATAGCCAGGTCGGACACGTATTCGTGCCAGACATAGTACCCGAGTCAAAGTAACATAGATGGTAAATGAGTATATATGAGAATGTGCTCCTTGTTTAGTTGGTTTCAAGGGAGAAACGAAAGTCATTGTATGGAAATGGAAGAACTTATAAGCAGTGATTTCCATTCCTCCAATTCTCCAATATATTTTATACCTCTATTTAGCAATGCATTTTCTTGTCGTTAGGGCTGATTTATCCCAGTGATTCAAAATGAGATAGCAACTTTAGGTCCTCTGGTCAATTTGAGATTTTGGTTTAACTCTTCCTGTCCAATTTAGCTCCTAACTAATTAAATAGGAAGCATCTAATAGTAGCCATAAAGTTGAGTTGATAAGATCGGTGAGCAGTATTTGTTTAGTTTGTGGTGACTTTGTGCCGAAATCCTGGATGTTGGTATAGTTTAGATCTCGAGCTGTGGTTTTTCCTCGTGCATTATGATGAGTTGATTACTAGATTTGAGCTATTATTATGGGGTCTGAGGATATTTTATGAGTTGTTATGTATGGTAAGTCCAGTTATTTGGACGAAAGACTTTACAAGAAGTTTCGGTTTATCGAAATTTAATTTTTAGTGTACTCAATTTAGGATAATTCTAAAGGATAATATTAAACTATTAGTTATAATCATTTAATTAGTGATTATTAAACTATTTTATGTCTCAATCGTGCCACCTTTTGGAAGGAGTTATTTCATTTAAGCGTAAAAGAAAATAGAATGAAATTAATTTGAAATTTGATTATTTTGCAGAATTATTAGGTTTCGATGGAAGTCCGTCAATGGCGATTGTCAATTTTACTAAGCTTCCAGCCGATTCCCCTCATTTCCCCTCCTCTGATCGTGATGATTGCAACTCTCAGGTAACTTCTTTCTCTCTCTTTTCTAATTGCGTGTTTTTCAAGCGTTTGTGATTTTTTCCCTAAATTTGAATGATGGAGCGCGTTTGGGTGAGCTTGGTAATTAAGCATTCTTTATGAATGATGAGCTTGGTATATGCTGTACTGGAGGTCTGGAGTAATGACCCTTGTAGGACTGTTATCTGATAATCTAGAGGTTATGAAATTTGATAATCACTCTGTTATGAAAGTTTATTGCTGATAATTTGTGATAAAATTACAGCAGCTTAAGTATATGTTCATAGTAAGGTAATAATTTTTGTCTTTCGCAAAAGTTTTTTTTGTTTGAATTGAACAATTATTGGTTTGATTAAATGAGGTAATAATGAAATCTGAAACTTTGATGAATTTATGGACTTTTATTTCGAATTTAGTGTTGAATTGGGTGTTGATTATAATATTTGTTTGTATATGATGAGTTAATGGAAAGGCTTGCAGTGTAAATGTATATGTGCTTATGTATTAGTTTCGTAGGAATTAGATTTTGAATTTCATAGGATTGTGTTTAAGAATGTCTTAGTTATATCCACCTTAGTTATATTCACTTTCGTAGAAGAGCTCACAATTACTCATGGTTAGTATTCTTACTACTAATTGTGGGGGAATTCATAGGAGGAGTCATTACCGTGAAGAAATTGGAAGAATTTAGGAGTACATGTCAGTGGAGAGGGTGAGCAAGAACAGGAGAGAATTTGACCAAGCAAAAGGTTGAGCAATTGAGGTAT